GATCACAATAGAGGGTCCCAGACAGAGCTGGAAAAGGATGTAGAACAGAATTCTAACTCACAAAAAAAGACCAGATATACTGGCCCGACAGACTGGAGAAACCCCGAGAGTATGGCCCCCGGACACACTTTTAGCTCAGTGGTGAAGGAACTCCCAAAGTTCACCATTCAGCTGGAGAATGGAAAGCCTCATTAAATAAAATGGGACTAATGAGGCACAGCAGTTCAGGGACAAGACTAGAAGGCAGGAGGGGACAGGAGAGCTGGTGATAGGGAACCCAAGGTTGAGAAGGGACAGTGTTGACATGTCATGGTGTTGTTAACCATTGTCATAGGGTAATATGTGTACTAACTGTTTAATGAGAAACTATTTGTTCTGCAAAACTTCATCTAAAGTACAAAAAAAAAGAATTATCTATGTGAGATCAAATTGACAACAGCAAGTCAAAAGGTTTGATGGGAAGCCTAGGGGGCAGTGAGTTGAAGATAATAGTGATGAAATAATTTGGAAAAGGATAGTGAGAATAGCAGCACAACTGGAAGAATGTAATCGATGTCACTGAATTGTACATATAGAGACTTTTGAAATGGTGTCACTTTGGCTATGTATGTTTTCACCAAAAAAAAGGTCCTCCAATGTTGAGAAGGGAGAGTGTTGCCATGTCGTGGGGTTGTTAACCAATGTCAGAAAACAATATGTGTATGACTGTTTAATGAGAAACTATTTGCTCTGTAAACCTTTATCTAAAGTATAATTTTAAAAAATTTAAAAAAAAAAACCAAACTGAATGCTCCCAGGTATTCAGGAAAGAAAATACAGTTACCTGTTGGGTAGGAATGCCATGGTGTGCTGGTGGATTGTGTCTTTGTTTCCTGTGTTGCCTTAGGCTGGGTTTCTGCTGGCTGTGTTGGAAGAGGTGAAGTAACTACTGGAATGAAAAGAATGTAAGAAATGTATTCTATTTGTGAAGAAAAATTTCATCTCCAACAAAAACACAAAAATAAAATAAAAAATTGTCATCCATTCTGAACTGCCTTTACCCAGCCTTCCCCTAAGGCCTGCCTCTTGCCTACTACCCACTTCCAGCCCTTTCATCTCCCTTTTGGAAATTTATTCAAAGCTGGCCTTGAGGTTTTGCACTTCTGTGTAGCTATTTCATTATTATGAGGAAATCTGATCTAGATAACGATTTGGATAGTTGTCAGTATGCAAGATCAATTCACAATGTCTACTTTCCTAGGTTCTCCCCATATGTACAGAGCCTACAAGAGTGCATCATATGTAGGACAACCAATTAACTTGTAATTTTACTCATACAAGTGACATTTTACTTTCAAAGAACAGAGCCTCAGGAATTTGCATTAAACTGCACTTCTCCCTTCCCAGTAGTGCCAGTCTGGATTCCTTGCCTTATTCAGGTCCCAAATTATCCACACATCTTTACAGAGAGATGCACATATTGGCCATTACAGGATAAAAACCAGTTGCTGTCGAGTTGATTCCAACTCATGGCAACCCTATGTGTTCCACAGTAAAATTGTGCTCCACAGAATTTTCAATGGCTGATTTTTTGAAAGTAGATCACCAGGCCTTTTCTGAGGTGCATCTGGATGGACGCAAACCTCCAACCTTTCAGTTAGCAGTCGGGTACATTAACACCACCCAATGACTTCAACACAGGGCAAATACTGACAATATTGAATTCCTTGATACCTCCTCAAAGTGACAATATTGTCCAATGTCTTAGCCTTGGCAATGATTCATGACATTCAAGGCAAGTTTCCTGGCAATTGTATTCCATTCTTGCCTTTTGTAAGGGTGATTACCAGTGTCATCTCTGACTCATCTTCCATTTCTCAACAAAAGAAACTTCCACTAAGAACTCTCCAATACAGGACAATTTTCCCCTTCCCTTTCTTGAAATCACTCTTTGATTTTTCTATCAAATAACTCACTTTCCTTATTAGCAGAGTGTTGCAAATGGTTTGTGCTCAGCTACTTATCAAAAAGTTGGCAGGTGGAACCCACCCAGCGGCACCTCAAAAAAAAGGCCTGGCAATCTGCTTCCATAAAGATTATAGTCAAGAAAACCCTATGAAGCTCATTTCTATTCTGTAACACATTGGATTGCCATGAGCTGGAATCAACTTGATGGCAACGGGTTAATCTGCTGAGTTGACCTCTTGCCTCTTTATAAGATATTTCCATGATTTCCTTCTCTTATAGCACCACAGAATGTTACAGCAAGTTAGTGGCGGCACCTGGAAGGTAATTCCCAAATCTAGTCTTTCCTATTGCCACCAGCTCATCTTGGCACTCTTGTCCAACAGGTAACTATGCATTTTCTTTCCTGAATATTGGGAACATTGTTTTTTGACAACCACTGACATATAGTTAAGAGTATATATTCTGGAATAAGACAGATCTAATTTGAGTACCAACTCTGGCCGCTCAAATCAGCTATATGATTTGAACAAATTTCTTATGCTTCTGAATCTGTTAGTCTTTTCTCTGATTTCCCTTCCCACCACAGCCTTGATGATTTCAGATTTCAATATCACCCTTTCTCATGTTCTGAACTGCTTTGTTACTTTCCTCTAATGCTCAAAGCTACAACAGGATGTGGCCTTCTTTAGGAACTAAGACCAGGACAACATAAGAGTGTCACATGATCAGAGTCTTTACCCAGTTTAGGTCTATGTAAAAGACCTCTTGAGCTTAAGTGCTTTGCTCAAGTTCCTTTCTCCCTTGCTTTTACAACCTACAATTGTACAAGAAGGGTTTAGGCATGTTCCAGAGTCACTAAGCCCAGGGAGGAGATGGATAAAGAAATAAATGTCAGTCCCTGCATTGGACTACCTTCTCCTTGTACTGCAAATTTCAACTCCAAACTCAACCTCTCTATCACTATCAGGACAAGGATACCAGTTGTCATGGAGCTGATTCTGACTCCTGGTGACCCCATGTATGTTAGAGTAGAACTCTGCTCCATGGGGTTTTCAACTGCTGTGATCTTTCAGAAGTAGATTGCCAGGCCTTACTTCCAAGGGACTCAAACCACCAACCTTTTGGTTAGCAGCCAAGCTCTTAAGCGTTTGTGCCACCCAGAGACTTCTCAGAATAAGGATAAGGCTCAATTAATACCATCCCCGTGGGGTCATATGGATCTATAAACAAATGCTTTTCTTCTGAATCTATGTTTTAAATGAAGTGCAATGACTTCTGCATGTTCTCCAAACCAAGTCTACTAATCCACCTTGGCAACCATGAACTAAGTATTAAGAAGTTAAATCAATATTGAGAAAGTCAACAGACTCTCTACTGTGTTCAGCTGCCTGGAACAAAGCTGTTTTTCTTATAAACTTTTATGGCTTTAAAATCCCAGTTATGACCTAAGGCCCCCTCTTCCAAACTCAGCTCCTAGCCCAATCCTTCAAATCCCCCTGGTTAAATATACACATGGTTCAATAGGAGTCAAGGGAAATCAATGTTCCATCGGATTTTTCCGGCTAAAAGCTTGTGACATCTCTGTTACTCCTCAGAATCCAGAGCCATCTCAAGAGGTCAAAGAGCTTTTGGGGCTTTGAGAATCTCCACTAAAAGTTATCTTTTCAATCCCCAAAACTGAAGGCTTAAACCCAAACTTGTCCTCACAATGACAAGCTGTTTCTCCCCCTATAAGTCATGTTATTTTCTGTTTATCTTAAATCTAAACTCTTATCTATGGGGAATTTGAAGTAAGAACCATGTACCCTAAGGTGAAAAATGAACGTGTACGTTCTAAGTCCCTGAAGTCTTTAAAATCCGATGTTTACTTTTTCATCAGTATAAAGAGCATCTTTTGCAATTTCCATGCTACATAAATAAATTAAAGGATGCTAGAAGCAAAATCATGTAAGTCACTGACTGCCCCCAAAAGACAGGGTAGCTGTATAAAAAGCCTTTTTCAGTGAGGCTGTAGGTCAAGACAGATTCTTCCAAACACAAAGCTCAGTGCTCATGATAGCCGGCACAATTGAGTAGCTAAGGGCAAAAATCCAAATTAATGGAGATAGAATTCTGCCTCAACTTTCCATCTGTGTGACTTTCAACAAGGAACTTAGACCCTGTGTGTCAGTTCCCACAACTATAAAATATGATTGAATCATACCTACAATGCATAGGATTGTAATAGATTTAAATGACATAATAATATTTGTAAAGCTCTTAGCATGGTGCCCCACATGTAATAAATACACAGTAAATGTTAGTTTCACTGAAATCTCTTCCTTAGGTTGAAGGGTCCTACTTCACAGTGAACTAAATTATCTTTATTTAGAGCTTCTGAAGAACAGAACCTAATCAACCTGACTCTTGTTCTCTGGCATTCCCTATTTTTATCTCATAAACCTGTATCCAGCTGGGCCAGATCCACACCAAATTGTTTAGATGCTCTAAATCAGTGGTCTTGCCTTTTTTGACTAATAATTTATCCCTTTAAGAGTCTGATAAAAAGCTATGGGTTGCCACACCCTGAAAATGCTTTTACACACAAAAGCTTGCATACAATTTGGGGGTGAGGAAGGAGGGTCACAGATTCCATGAAGCCCATTCTTGGAACCCAGGTAATAACCCTTAACCCTAGATTGACCCTAAGTACTTCCACCTTGAAACAATGCCCTGAGGGTCTACATTTCCTCATTAGAAAGCCTCTGGGCTTGGAAACACATCTGTTTTACCTGGTTTGTGGTTCTGCTCAGGTGTTGATGTTGGAGGTGCAGAGGTAGAGACACTAGGTGATGTTGGAACACTGGTGTCCTGGGCTGCAGTTAGAAATCAACATGAAAGTGAGGATTAACCAAGCAGCAAGAAGTCATCTAAAGCTGGGACTGCACATCAGCATAGCCTATGACATATGACAGATCATCCCCAACAGAATTGGGCATTTCTCTTCTGAACTCAGAGTCCTTGTCATTAAATCATTGGTCAACTAGGATGTGTGATAGCGGAGGGCTTGAAGATATGCTCAAAAAGGAAACAGCTGCACTGAAAAATATGCATTTGGGGAGATTCAAGGTGAGAAATGATACCTTGTCTTTGCATAGAAGCACTTTTAGAAGACCAGACATGCATATCGGATTTATGTGTCTTCATAAACATCTCTGTGAGGTAGGGAAGGTATATAGAGTCTGGAGGATCAGCAGTTCTTTTTCCTTCTCTCTAGGTGAATGACTAAGACTTAAACAGTAGTTCTCAGGTCCAGAATGTTTACCAAATATAATGAAGAGCATTCAGCTCACTCAGTCCTGAGAGCACCCACCCTACAGACTTGCATCTTAAGTGAGGGTTAAGTGAAACCCTTTGGCCTATGCTGGACTGCATGTGCGGGCCAGCACAGGAAGGATTTATACATTTGGTAGGAAAGTGGATTAGATCTACTAAGGTTCCTTCCCACCTAAGAGATAATTTATAAAGGGCCAGATAGTAAATATCTTAGTCTTTGGGGGCCCTATGCTCCCTATAACAACTACTCAACACCATAGACAATACATAAACAAGGGAGGTGGCTGCTTTCCAATAAAACTTTATTTGTAAAACAGATGGCTGGCCTGATCTGGCCCTTGAGCTATAGTTTGTTAACACTGGTCTAACTTGTAGTCAGAGGCTTTTTAAGAACAGTCTTCTCCCTCCTCTGCTTAAAGTAGAATCTTGAGAAAATAGCAAGCACACAAAAAATCTGATCAAAGGACCATAATGGGAACAATAATAAAGAGAAGGAAACTGAATTGGCTGGCTCATGAACTTTCTTGTCTTCCTCAGTAGTAAATTTTTCCCCCAGGAAGGCACCTGAAAGTCTGAGAAGCTGCAAGAGTAGAAGAAGCTGATGAGGAAAAGCCCCAAACAGGGTTGGAGGGTAAGCTCAGCCTGTGAAAAATACAAGAAAACCTAAGCAAAAGTTTGGTTATTTGGGGAAGAGGCAGAGTCACGTTGGCTGTTATAGAGCCAACACAGAAATCTGCCGGCTTTATCATTTGACATCTACCTACTCTTGACTGGACCCAGTGCTGGTTTTGTAACTACCCACCTCTCACTGAATTTCCAAGCATAATACAAAAGTCTCCTGCTAATTTCTTTCAATGCCACTTTTTTCTAAAAGTTCAGCCAAGCCAGTAATAATATAATTTCACAATTCCAAGAAAATTGTAATCATAAGCCTATTATCCCTTTGCTCTCCACCTGCAGCCTCCTCACATTCGTCTCTTTCTTCTAGCACACTCTATCTCCCTCTTCTTTTGGCAGCTTCCCTAAACTGCCTCTAGGATGTAGTTTCCCCAGAGTCAGCTATTTCTCCATAGAACAAATCCCTTCCTGCTTGCCTTTGTAAGGGAAACAAGTCATGTGCAAAGGCTGGGAGATTGCAAAATCGAGCTCCAGAAAGATCTTTTCCTCTTCATTAAACAAACAAAAAGACAGCAACAACAACAAAGTATTAAATAGAGACACAGTTGTCAAGGTCACAGGTATTGGGTTTTATTATTTTCTATTATTAATATTATCAATTGGCCTTCATGGAAGGAAATTCATTACAAAACAGCACCAGAGACCACAAAATTCTCAAGAACTTACTCCTTTCATAAAATGATAAGGGAAATTAGGATGTCCACATCAAGATGGGAAAATATAATATTCCCAGATATTTGGATTTCATAATTTCTTAAAAGCAGCTGCTGAACAGTTGTTGTTGGGATGCAAATGTTTAGTATTGCAATATAAAGGCATTTTTTTTTTTAATGCAATTTTTATGATATGATGTGAGACATGTTTCCAAAAATCCAGTATCAGGAAAGGCGAAGAAGTACAACCATATATGAAACAAGACTGGTCCTGAGTTAACAATTGTTAAAGAGGGTGATGTATTTAACAGTACTACTTTATTCTCTACCTTTATGTTTGAAATCTCCCATAATAGTTTTTTTTTTAATTTTAAAAGGACATTTTAATATTCTTCTAAGACATAATCTCCACAGAAAGAGTGGTTCTTTGAATCAATTAAGCTTGATAAAAATATTCACTAGTGAAAACCAAAGACACAAGAGAAAGATTAGTCTAAAGGACTAATAGATCACAACTACCACAGCCTCCACAAGCACAGCTAGATTGTGGCCAGCTACCACCACCAACTGCCCTGACAGGGATCACAATAGAGGATCCCAGACAGAGCTGGAGCAAAATGTAGAACAAAATTCTAACTCAAAAAAACAAAAAAAGAGACCAGACTTATTGGTCTGACAGAGACTGGGGAAACCCCGGACGCCTTTATAGGTCAGTAACGAAGTCATTCCTGAGGTTCACCCTTCAGCGAAAGATTAGACAGGTCCATAAAACAAAACGAGACTAAAGAGGCACACCAGCCCGGGGGCAAGGATGAGAAGGCAGGAGGAGACAGGAAAGCTGGTAATAGGGAACCCAAGGTCAAGAAGTGGGGAGTGTTGACATGTCATGGGGTTGGCAACCCATGTCACAAAACAATATGTGTATTAGTTGTTTAATGAGAAACTTGTTTGTTCTGTAAACCTTCATCCAAAATAAAATTTAAAAAAATATATATTCACTAGATTTCCCTATGGAATAATGAATGTTTTTTCATGGACCAACTAACATTTTTGAAGCACTGCTTCAGGAGATAGTCTGCTGACCACAAAGATCTTCTGGCCTAAGGCCTTGAATCAAGGTTGGTCTGAGCACTTCATCTACACACATAAAAGCTTTTCTATTCCCCAAGAGCAACAGTTATTAAAAAAAAAAAAAAAAAAAAAAAAACAGGAATGTAGGATTTCCTTTCCATCTATTAAAGGAAAAGAGAAGATTACTGCCAAACAGAAAACCCTGCATCTTAGTTAACCCGCATGAAATGACCAAAGGAAGAAGCTCACCTGCTTTAATCTTCAATGATACAGTGAGTTTCTGATCGTTAAACCAACCCTTGTGCTCAACACGACAACAATACAGGCCACTGTCTGCCTCAACTGCATTCTCTATAGTCAAAGACACATTCCTTGCCAAAAGGGACCCTTTTAGCTTATAACGTCTGTGCTTCTGAAAGGTAACATGGGATCCAGATGTGTCAGTCTGGACAATTGTATTTTCGCAGTAAAAAGTAGGACATGCCCCTTGGCCCCAGCACACAGACGTGAGCGCTCCTGAGTATGTGCAGGGTAGTGTGACAGGCTGACCCACTACTCCATTCACTTGTGGATAAGAAACTACAGCATCTGCAAATAAAAAGAAGAGAAACAAAGAACGAGGGCTCAATATATTTTTTTTTACTTTATTATCTCTTTTCAGGTCTTCTTTGCATAGTGTATTTGGTTTCTAATCATATGACATTATGACTTAAATTTTAAAAATTAATAGTTACAAGCATGTATCTATGTTAGCACACTGTCAGCATTATTTTTAATGATTATGCTTGTAGATAAAACATAATTTATTGTACTGTAAGATACTGAGGTTGTTTCCATTTTTACCATTATAAGTAACTTCACAAAATCTTTCTGCATAAAACTTTTTCTGTATTTAGTATTGTTTCCTAGTATTATAAATTTCTAGGAAAGAAATTACCAGAATAAAGGGCAGGAATATTTTTCAGTCTTTTGATGAATATGGCCAAATTGCTTTCTGAAAAGTTTGAACCAAATGGCACTCCAGTAATACATGAGTATGTATTTCACCTGAGTTTGCCAGGTACCTGTTCCTTGTTGTTGATTTTTAAATAGGTAATACATGCTTATGGTTTTTAAAAAACGAGAACAGTACAAAAGGGCATGCAATGAAATGTCTCCTTCTTGCTCCAGGCTCCTCCCAAGAATCAATCTCTATATCAGTTGAAATACATTTTAAAAAATAATAAATTCTAACACATTTAAATATTTTTTAAGTTTTAATGTAATTTAAAAACTGCTATTGCAAATGGGATCATCTCCTCCCCCCAAGTCCCCACTTTCCAAAAAAACAAAAACAGAGCCAATATTTTGTTTAAAGCGTTGCTCGCATGAAGGCGGAAATCTGGTAAATTCTTTAGAAATCAATTTTTAGAATATGGGTTTATAATACCTCCAGGAGGGGCTGAAGCTTATCATGGGCTTTAGAATTGCTCAAAAAAAACCCAAGCAGGGGCCTCTTCCCACAAGTTGATGAGAGGCTGGCAACTGAGCAAGGCCCACGAACCCAGGCAAAACAAAGAGAAGAGGAGAATATTATTTTAAGGCCTAAATTGGGCCATTTGAAAAACAAACAAACAAAAAATTATCTCCTGGGGTAGTGGCATAAAAATGCAGTCAAGATGCCCTTAAAAGAAATCTGAGATTCCCTAATTAATAGTAATTTACTACTGGGCTGTGAGTTTGGGAAACGCTCTCGGAAAAAAGGCTCATTGTTAGATAAAATAAGAGTATATTTTTCACGGGAATTCTTATAGTATTTAATTTTGCTTAATGCCCTATTTTTCTGATTACAAATACATGCTAATTATAAAATTAAAGTATTATAAACATATATAATTTTTAAAAAAATGAACTTTCTCCCATAATCTCACCTTCCAGGGATTAGAACTTTTTAAATTAAAATATTGATTTTTAAAAGAAATAATTGTACATGATTTAAAAAAAATAAAAATAAAAAAGGACTAAAGAGTACAATGAAGAGCTAAAGTCTCCACTCCACCCCGATCACCATTTCCTCTCCCCACACTGTGATATCCTCTGTTACTATTTCTTATATACACTTGATAGAGAGTCTATGCACACACAATGTCTACTCATCCCTTTTTGTTTAAACACAAATGGCAGCATAGGGCACAATGTTCTGCATCTTAGCCATGGATTTTGTAATTCACAGCATTTAAGTAGCTTCTTTGGAGTAAGATTTTAGCTTGGCTGTTTGCTCACTCATTAACCCATTACTGTCCGACATATCCCAAGGACCAGCTTTCTCCACCACACTTACCCCCTACCCCCTTCACTCTGCATCCTCAGCCCTCCTCCTCACTTACCTGTCAGGAGCAGCATGAGACTTGAGATCACTACCTGAGGATGCATCACGGGATCAGCCTGAAGAAAAGTGAGAAGACAGACTGGTTGGTTGTGCCCTGACCAGACAGTATCGGAGCAAGTCTTAATTCACAGATTTGAACTTCTCCTTTCACCCTGACTTGGCAAATCATGTGAATCTGCTCTGCTGGGGATGTCAGAAGACCACCACACAGCTGTGGGACTCTGTTAGCTCCGGAAGCTGAGGGTTCTGCACCTGCCAGCAGACGAGAGAAGCAGCCCCTCACATCCCAGCTCTTTCCCCACACATACCCTCTAACCGGATTCCTGGTTTTGGCACAGCAGATAAAGGAACAAACAGGTAGCAACTAGAGCCAAAGATTAACAGTGTGGTTCAATGGCAGAACGCTAGAGAAAAGATCAGGCTTCTAATGTTAAAGGCGCACTGCCTCTTGGCCTTTAGGATGAGAGGACGCTGGCCCTTTGGTGGACATAGGGTTCTTCCTCCCCTGTGGCCACAAAGATTAGTCCTCAGCCTCAACCGGTCAAATTACTGAGTTTGCCATTAGCTAGAGGAATTGAGTGAGAATGTGAATCACCATGCCTAACTATTCATGCTACCGGAAATAATGACTCATATTACATACCTTACTGAGGGATGTCAAGAGAATGTATCAGGAAGCAGTAGAATTTGGAGATATGGGTATCTCTAGGAGTCACCAAACCCCGCCAAACTCTGATTTCCTCATTTGTAAAATAGGACTAAAAATACTTGCTGTGTCTCCTTCAAAGGGTTGTTATAATGAACAAAAGTGGAATGGGAGACCTTTGAGAACTACACCTAAATATGCATTATAATATTAGCTAAGATTAAAAAAATTTTTTTTCTTTATTGTGCTTTAGGTGATTTACAGAGCAAATTAGCGTCTCATTAAATAATTAATACACATATTGTTTTATGACTTTGGTTGCCAACCCCACAACCTGTCAACATTCTCCCCTTCTCAACCTTGGGTTCCCCATTTCCATTCATCCAGTTTTCCTGTCTTCTCCTGCCTCCTTATCCTTGCCCCTGGGCTGGTGTGCCCATTTAGTCTCGTATACTTGATTGAGCTATGTGTATTGTTTGTTTTATGGGCCTGTCTAATCTTTGGCCGAAGGGTGAACCTCAGGCGTGACTTCGGTACTGAGTTAAAAGGGTGTCTGGGGGCCATATTCTCAGGGTTTCTCCAGTCTCCGTCAGACCAGTAAGTCTGGTCTTTTTTTGTGAGTCAGAATTTTGTTCTACATTTTTCTCCAGCTCTGTCTGGGACCCTCTATTGTGATCCTTTTCAGACCAGTCACTAGGGCAGCCAGGCACCACCTAGTTGTGCTCGACTCAGGGGCTGTGGTAGTTGTGTTCCATTAGTCCTTTGGACTAATCTTTCTCTTGTATCTTTGGTTTTCTCCATTCTCCCCTGCTCCAGATGGGGTGGACCAGTAGATGTACATTAGATAGCCACTCACAAGCTTTTAAGACCCCAGATGCTACTCACCAAAGTAGAATGTAGAACATTTACCTTATAAACTATGTTATGCCAATTGAACTAGATGCCCCCCAAGACCATGGTCCCCAGCCCTCAGCCCAGTAACTGGATCCCTATGGGAGTTTGGATGTGTCCATGAAGCTTCTACGACTTTGCCTTGGTCAGGTTGTGCTGGCTTCCTCAGTACTGCGTACTGTCTTGCCCTTCACCAAAGTTAGCACTCATCTATTGTCTATTAGGTGTTCCTCCATCCTCACCCGTCCCCTCCCTCGTAACCATCAAAGATTGTTTCTTTCTGTGTGGAAACTTTTTCATGAGTTTTTATAACAGTGGTCTCATACAGTATTTGTCCTTTTGTGATTGACTTATTTTACTCAGCATAACCTTCCAGATTCATCCATGTTGTGAGATGTTTCGCAGATTCATCATTGTTCTTTATCGTTGTGTAGTATTCCATTGTGTGTATGTACCATAGTTTGTTTATCCATTCGTCTGTTGATGGGAACTTAAGTTGTTTCCATTTTTTTGTATTGGCCAAGATTTTTGAAGAATAGTCTGTGTAGCAGATTCTGTGCCAAGCACCCATATGCATTTAATCCTTGAGGAAGAAGCTGAGGCTTGGAGAGGGTAAGTGAGCCTAGATTCCAAATCGAGTCTTCTGACTTTTGCTCTTAATCATTAAACCATGCAAACATGAGTAAGCCTGACTAGTACTTCATTAACTTCCCCTCAGGTCTAAAGTTTCAGTAACTCCTTCCAGTGAGGCAGGTGATGGTGCTCTGTTTCTGACTTTCTTTCATGTTCTTTCACCCATGATGGACTTCATGGAGAAGCAGGTAGCCTTGGCATACTGTGGCAGTGAGTCTGGCACTGCCTAGGACTGGGAACCCCAGACTCAGCAGTCTCTGTACTGTGAAGAGGCTTGAAGCCTGATGCTACAAACTATGGCCCAAAGACTATATTTGGCCTGTAGAAATGCTTTTTTGACACTGTTTAAAAGTTTATTTCTTAATTATTGCCAAAATTTAAAAATCCAGAGAGTGCATATGAGAATGCAGATTTTCATCTTTCCAAGAAATAAAATTTAAAAGTCTGACAACACAGAGCCCAAACATCTTAGTTATCTAGTACTGCTATCACAGAAATACCACAAGAGGGTGGCTTTAAAGAACAGAAATTTATTTTCTCAAAGTTCTGGAGGCTAGAAGCACTGGCTCTAACGGAAGGCTTTCTTTCTGTCAGTTCTAGAAGATCTTTGTTTCTTTCAGCTTCTGTAGTCCCAGTATTCCTCAGTTCTTCGATGATCTTCACATGGCATCTATCTTTGTGCTTCACTCTGCGTCTAATCTCCTCTTTTTTATAACTCAGAAGTGATTAGGTTTAGGACACACCCTCCACTGATATGGTTTTATTAGCATAACAAAAAATGTTATTCCCAAATGGGATTACATCCACAGGTATAAGGGTTAGGATTCCAACATATATTTTGGAGGGACACAATTCAATCCACAGCACACCTTATCCCGTCAGACTGGTCATGAGTTCCTCAACCTACCTCACCACTATCTAATGAACTTCAGTGACTTACGTAGACCTTGACTGAAGGGAGTTCCCTGCCTTAGACCTTATTCCAGTTTCTTGAACACAAGATTTCTCCTGTCACTGGTTCTTCACACAGACTGTCCCATGGCCTATTTTCTGTAATTTTCCTCTTCCTTAAAATGAAGGGGTTGGACCATATGATCTTTAAAGGCCCTTCCAACTTTATGATGCCAAACTTTCCCCACATTCTTGAATTCAACTACGTAATATGAGTTCATTTATGGATATCTGCTATTGTGTTATTCTTTGCCTTTATACACTGGGAAGGGACACTATTGACCCTATCTTAGCTATCACCAAAAGTGGGGGAAGGGCAAATTCTGAAATGGTTCACTCAGAATTAGGTCTTACCTTATTTATTTGGGGGACAAAATATTTTATGACTAGTTGTGTTATACTCAGACTGGACAAAGGCCAGGTAGGTTAGTGATAAGGATTTTTTTTTTAATTTAATTCAATTCTGTAAACTTTATTACTAATATATGAGGCTAACTCAAGATACTAAGGATGAAAAAAATCCAAGATTGTGCAGTCTGGTAGAGACACAGGTAAGTAAGGAACTAATTAATAAAATTAGGCAGAGTGAGATACATGGTGAATATATAATCAGACCATGTCATTCCCCCACACTTACAACTTCCCATGGCTCTCTGGAGGGAAAACAAACAAACTGTTTACCCAGGTTTACAAAGATCCAGTGATCTAGCCCCTGCCTACCTTTTCTTTTCATACCATTCTCTCCCTTGCTCACATGGTTCCAACTACTCTGGTTTTCTTTCAAATTTATCTCTACCTTAGGCCTTTTCTCTAGTGGCACCCAGATCCCCATTCCTTGACCCTGCCATTTTCACTTTTCCCTTTTCATCCTGATGCCCACTTAAGTATCACCTCTTCATTACTCTGATCCCTCTAAGGTCGTTCTCTCTGTACCACCCTAGGTCAATTCTCTACACAGCATTTACCTTATTTCCCTCTAGATCTGTGCTGACCAATACAGTAGCCAGTAGTCACGTGTGACTACTTAAAATTTGGCTAGTGGGACTGAGGAACTAAATTGTTATTTAGTTTTAATTAATTTTAATCTAAGTAGCACATGTGGCTACCAGACCGGACGGCATAACTCTAGAACATGTACATCTTTAAGTAGAGCTCTTCCCTCCCTTTCTCTGATCTATCCCTGGATCATTATACCAGTCCAGTTGCCATGGAGTTGATTCCAACTCATGGTGACCCCATGTGTGTCAGACTGGAACTGTACTGCATAAGGTTTTCATAGAGGATTTTTTCAGAAGTAGATAACCAGACCTTTCTTCCAATGTGCCTCTAGTGGACTCAAACCACCAACTTTTCAGTTAGAAGCTGAGCACTTAAACGTTTGTACCATCTGGGGACTTCTTGATTGTTATAAGAGACCCAATAAATAGTGATTGAACAGATAAACGAGTAGAAGCACAAAGGTATGGGGAAAGATCATTCATTTTGATTGGGAGGGAGGGGTAGATGAAAGGAAATTCCTTTAAAAAAAAGTGACATGTGAGGTTTATACTTGGTGAAGAATGGGGAAAGCAGAAAGAGGTGGAGGGATTTTTAAGTTGAGAGAGTGATGAGCAAGAGTCAAGGCAGGGAGTACGAGAACAAGTGTCCAGGACATGCAGCATGGCTCTAAGATGTTAAATAACTGTACAATTCCATAGCATTGGATTTTCTGATATGAGCCTCTGAGAGCCTCCTCTGGGTCCTAAAGGCTCCCAAACGATGCAGCACAGTAGTTTTCTTTTCTTTCGAGCTATACAACGTTCATGAATCACTACTCTTCAGGGTTAAATTTATGACTCTTTGAAAGACACGCCACAGGTGAGGTGTGAGGGTCAATGGGGTGACAAAACTCAGGCTCCAAACCTGAAATTCCAGCTGCTTACTGGAAAGCTATATTTGCAAAAACACAACTAAAAAGCAATAAATTCCAAAACTGAATTCATTGTTATCTGATGTAGTCACCATTCCCTTGCTGTCTGGAGCCCACCCTGCTCTCCAGCTCCCAGCCTCCTGCAAAGAATTCAACTTCTTGCATTTTTCCTGTCTTCACCAAAGTGAGCTCTCCCGCAACCCCTCCGTGTCTAGTGGCTCACCGCGTCCACCCCATGGTACTTAGCCAGTCTACTCCTCATTCCTACTACCTTAAATCAGTCCTCCATAATCTGTAGCCTGTGTTGTTGTTGGGTGCTGTTGAGTCAGATTTTTGATTCATAGCAACCACATGTGACGGAGTAGAACTGCCCCAAGGGTTTTATTGGTTGTAACCTTTATGGAAGTAGATCACCAGGTCTTTCTCCCATGAAGCAGCTGAGTGGGTTCAAACCACCAACCTTTATGTTAGCACCCAAGTGCTTAACTGTTGTGCTGCCAGGGTTCCTTAATCTGTAACCTAGACTTCTGCGATTCCCTCCAAAATTGTCT